AGGAGTACCGCCAACTGCCTGGATAAAATATTCACTAATCTTAAGGGACTAATGACTATAGAAGTCGATGCGTTCGGAAACAACCAATCTTTACGTTTATACTTCATTTTTCTATAGTGGCCGATGACCTTAGGTCATTATTATACCTCCTGCTTATAAAACGAATATTTTTTAACAGTGGTAAGCACATTTCTAAGGACACGAGCCCCGTCAAGAAGGACGTTCTCGAATGAATTAAAATCGTTCGTTTTATAAGGCAGGAGGTGTATGTCGTCGGCCAATATAATACCAATCAAAGCGGTACGGAGAGCGAACTACCACAGTGTCTCACCTGTGCGGCAGCAGCGGGGAGGCGGGCGCGGAGCCGGCGCTGGCCAGCTTGTGCGTGGGCGACGAGGACGTGTTGATGTGCAGCGGCGTGGAGAAGTCCTCCTCGGCGTCGTCGTCGTCGGCGAAGTGCGTGGTGTCGCTGGTGTAGCCGTCAGCGCGGTGGCTGGCCGAGTGCGAGTGGTGGTGGTAGTGGTGCTGGTTGTAGCCATGGTTTAGCTGCTGCTGAGTCTGGTGAGAGTGATGGCAATTACAGATTATATATTTCGATTAACCATTTTTGGGGGGTTTTATCGCCGATTTTGGTTTATCGAAGTAGCTATATATTATATGATATACTTGTATGCTGAAGAAAATTTGCATCGATATTTCGATACAGGCTACCGTTTATTTTTTGCCCCAGAATGTTTAAGATGACGAGCACGAAAAGGAAGAAAAAAAAAGTAAATTGAGGGTTTGAATCTCATAGCACATACTTTAACATATAAGTTCATACAGCCAGTCTTCAATCACGTTGCCTCGCATCCAATGTATTTCATGATTTCAAAGAACGACTCATTTCCAATACACATAAGAAGTATTAAGAATAATTTGAAGTAATCAATTAAAGTCATATATTCTAGATACTACTTATATTATCTCTTCGCCAGCTGGAAGCCTGATCCAGCCAGGCTAGGAATCTTGATAGGAACATAATACATCAGAATCTCGAGCACAAGAGATTAAAAACTTCGAAATGTGACTCGTCGTCTCGTAGACAGTCTAAGTGATCGGCCTCGCTTTCCCAGCCCTTCCCTAAATTAGATGTATCTAACGTGTTTTTCCCCATCATTTGAAAATCGTAATGTTATTGAATTGGAAATAATTTTTTATAATATACATCAAGATTAATAAATTACAGACCGGTACATTTCCCATACATGTTCATTAGCAAAACATCTTCGCTCCTCCTATACGCCATAGAAATATATAATACGTATTCCGAACATCGTTCCATATTTGTCAGTAATTCAATCATGGTGAAAACTCAGGAAGTAAACTGACGCGAGAGTATTACAGTGCGCCAGGAAAGTCTCTCCACACGGAGCCGAATCAGGGCCTTTCTTTAAAAATTGCATTTAGATTGGTAGCCCGATCACTGGGAAACAATTGAAGGGGACAACACTTTCAGCATCCATTATTATTGTGGTGAATACGCAATTTTAAGTTTTCTAGCTGCAGCTCGTACTACCAACATATAATTCGATTTAAACAAAGAGTTTGTTAACGCTTCGTCAGCTGTTACGGTGTCTCGATTTGATTATCAGCCGTAACAGCTGATTAAAATTCAACGGACTTTACGTTTAAATTGAAATACAACTCCTATTACAAGCAGTCTCACCAGCAAGATGCTACTACGGAGAGACTTTCCCGGCGTTCTGTATTTGATTCCACAGCTTAAGAACATCCTACCGATCTTTGAAAGGTCTCGAATTCAATTCCCGACGGAATCAAATATTATTCTCCACAATTGCCCGTTTACAAATAGCTGTCAAACGGTCGGCACATCCCTACCTGCTGGTGATAGGCGTTGGGAGGCGAAGTAGGCGGCTGATGGTGCTGCAGGGAGCGTAGTTCGGAGAGCAGCCGCACCTCTTGGGGGCGGCGCTCCTGCCGCAGCTGCCCCTCCCGCCGCTCGCGCAGCTTCTGCTGTTGCCGCTGCAGCCACGTGAGGCCGCCCGCGCCGCCGGCGCCCACCACCGTCCTGCAACACCCGCCGCGCACACGTCATTAACACTGCCATCAACCACAAGACGGCCTTAACCTTTAAGTCGTTAAGCCCGTTTCACACGGTCATTTTTCGTCTGTACAGAAAAATGAAGTACCACGCTGGATGTAATTTGAACGAAAAAAATGACTCAAACTGCTTTATTCGGTCATTTTTTTTCGTCGTTTTTCGACGGTACAGAAAAATGACGGACCAAACTGGATGTAATTTGAGCGAAAAATGACCCAGACCGTCTTACATGGGAATTTTTCATCATTTTTCGTCGGTATAGGAAAGTGACGGGCCAGACAATGTCATTTATACGAAAAAATGACTCCTGCTTGAATTTTTGGTAAAAATTACATACAATTTGACTACCGCGCTCCGGTCATAACTTTTTGGAACTTTCTCTGGTTTGCTTTGCGTGTGGTGCGATTTGTTCGTTTTTTACAATTTTGAGAACACTCTAATGTGTTGAATTGTAATGTAAAGTTTGTGATTTTACAGTTAGAAATAAAACATGTACTATATTCTAATGTCGTCTATTTCCATGTTCAGTCCTAATGAAATGTAACTTAATTTGTTACCATGTGTGCTATGTTGAGCTGTTAGATATGCAGCACTTTTTGCGGCGTCCAGTGGAAATATTGCGAGCAACAATCGAAATGACTTTGCAAAACGCTCGATCACGTCTATCCAGTTTCGATACCAATACAGTAGGGCTTGGAAATGAACGCCCCTTTCCATTCATTTTCTACAGAGAACAATTATGAAAAAATGACCGTGTAAAATGGGCTTTACACCCATTTGTTAAACTACTAGCGCAAAAACAACAACAAACAAACAAAAAACAAACAAAACTGTACTGATTGCTGAATCATAGTGTCTCAGAATAAAAGTTACTAACTTCGTGGGCCTTTAGGAGCGTTCACGAAAATCACTTTCCATCAAGGAACTTGTCGTGGAAATTTCATTTGACGAAATTTAAAATGCGTCGATTCCCCCTTTTTGGTAGGTAACGCATCATGCGTTGGAGTTTGACAAGTTACGTTCTATCACAGCCAAAGAGGTTTCTTATTTCGTACGCGCTGAGCACTAAAACATATACACTCAATCATGATGGGTTGCCTACCAGTCAGGGGCAAATGTCTCTTCCTTAAATTAAAGTTTCCCGCTGGCCTGGATGACTGAGGCGGCTTTGAGCGTGTACCGACTCAGCGCTTTGGTCCGAAGGGTCGCAGGTTCGAGTCCCGCCTTGGGTCCCTTGTCTCTCGTGTATGTGTTGTCGCGGAGGGCCTCGCGTTCTGCTCACCCCAAGTCAACGCAGCCCACAAATGTGTTGTTGTCTAGTGTAGCGTCGAATATGCATCCCTTCAAGACGTAAAGAGTAACCGGCTGTCGGCGGGATAAAAGCTCCGGGAAAAGAAATTAAAGTTTCCACAAGTTCATTGGGAAAAAGTGACCATCTTTGACCTCGCTACCCCACTTAACATTTATTCTGAGACACCTGTAGTTTGAGAGAGATGCGTCACTCGACAGTTTGTCTTGGATGTGACAATGTTGTGTGGCAGTCTCAGTCTCGTCGTACCTAGCCGTGTACGACACACATATGTTATTATGACATTTCCCGGAAGAGGGGGGGGAGTTTGTAAAATTATAATTGTATTTGTTTGCAATTGTCTTTTCGGTTAATTGTAATTTATTATGTAATATGTTTCTTTAACAATAAAAAAAATTAAAAATATTTACAGAGCAATTTGTACTAATAATGTTTTTTTAAAAAAGGTAGGGGTCTTAGAGACTGATGTTACTATTGACGTCATAAAAAATACATTATCGACTGAGTTTTAGTATGAGAAGTTTCAGTGCTCGCTATTTAAGGCACAGCTTGGACAAGACGAAATATACATAATGAAGGAAAAAAAGTAGTGTGTGAATAATCGAAGAAAATAATCCTCTAACTAAAATTCGAATGAAATATATGATGAACACTCGTAACATTAACGCAACAAAATCTAATGTTCAAATGTGCATTTAGTAAATTAACCGTTTCTTTTCACAAGTAAGAAACATCGTACGTTATCACCTACCCATTTCGACACGGGAGAAACCGAAACGAATAATACAAATAATGTGTCAAACGGGACAATGGAAAGATTCCGTTTAAAAGAACAAATCGAACGACCTTTTAGTCTACGCAGAAAAAGGGGACGAAAAAGACGGAAGCGGAGGAGAAGAAAAAGAAGGAAGTTACTGGAAGATGGAGAAGGAATAGAACTAGGAATAGAAAATGGAAAAGATCCTTTCTTTCGTTCATTCTTTCCTTTATTTATTACAGGAGTCGATTCTTTATTCAATGAAATGCTATAAAAAGGTTGGTCCCCAATATTTTTTACGTCACGAGTAACTTTTTTGTTACCAGGAGGCGGCGCCGGCCTTCGCCTGCACCCGTCAGCTGCGCCACCGGCGAGTCCGCGTGTTTGTCAATAGGCTCCCCGCGCGCGCTTCTCCCTCTCCGCAGGGCTATGAATAGCGGAGCGCGGGCGGTGGGCGGGCGGGCGGGTGGCGCCAGCGCCGCTGAAGAGGAGTCGACTCGGAGGAGAATCGACAGTAGGCGTTTATTAGTATCAAGGGCCTGCCGGCTATATATACGCATACTCCATGCCCGTGCGTGCACGACGCTCGCCTGGACCGCCCCCCGCCCATCGTCGTGTCCTGCCCCGCCCCGTCCCGGAGGCTCCAGCGCTGGAGTCGGCAGCGGATGTGGCCGCGGAGAAGCAAACTTCAAATCTATAGAAGTTTCGGTTTTGCGACTGGAAAAGAATCGCTCCTATAACCGAGGGCTGCCTCCTTTGGAGGCTCTAGCAGTGCAATTTACCGACATAACAATTCAGCGATAAAAGTAGAAAACAGATGGTACACCAACAATTCGCCTGGACTCACAAGCGCGACAACGATAGGCGCGTGTGAGGAGCAGGAAAACATTTTTGGGCTTTGTACATAACCGTACCCCATTAGTGTTACGGTTATGTATTACGTTTTCAGTTCGGAAGTTTTATACCTATATCTGCCGTGAACGAAAGATTTTGATGGATTAGTGATTATGATAACATGGTTTGAATGGTCATGGAGCAATGGCGAAGGCACTAAGACACGGAAAATGGCTATACGTTTAACTGAACAACTCCCACGCCTCTTCAGAAAAAGAAAAATAGGGGTGAAACAGGAGGAAAGCACAAGAAATGAAGGAGACCTTTGTTACGCAATTGCGACACCAACTTTCAGCATTCCACACGCACTGATGAAGCTTCGAAATTTCCGAGCCACCTTGAAGCGCGACCAGCCGACGGGGCGTGTGAAGAGCGTCATTTATTTTCTCAAACACGCCAACTGTTTGGTTTTGCATAAGCAAGAGCTATTTTCCGCCCAGAAAGCTTATGTGAACTTCGCAAATATTGAAAACTTTCTAGTAGAAAGAGTGGGTGGGTATTGCACGCGCTGTAATCCTCTAAGATCACCTCTTCCCTCCTTCTCTCTTTCTCTTTCTTTCTTTCTCTCTCTCTTTCTTTCTCTCTCTCTCTCTCTCTCTCTCTCTCTCTCTCTCAGGCAAGGCATCGTCGCGAAATCCTGTAAATGCGCAACTGTTGTCACAAAAGTGGGCGTTCCAAAACATCCCAAAGGTGTTCGATAGGATTCAAGTCAGGACACTGTGCAGGCCAGTCCATTACAGGGATGTCATGGTGGTGTAACCACTCCGCCACAGGCCACGCAGTATGAACAGGTGCTCGATCGTGTTGAAAGATGCAATCGCCATCCCCGAATTGCTCTTCAACAATGGGAAGCAAGAAGGTGTTGAAAACATCAACGTCGGCCTGTGCCGTGGTAGTGCCACGAAAAACAACAAGCCTCCAAAACACGACCACACTGTAACATCATTTTGGACGTGTCCGGATACTTTTGTACACATAGTGGATGAGCTCATACGTATGACAGAAATTATTTTCACGGAATCGCCAAAAACTGAAAGAATACGACACGTCGGGGGGTTAAGCATCGCCCCATCTCACCCCAACCAGCGCGCAGAAAGCTGTTGGCGGAAGCGTGCTCGCGGCCTTCGCGTGGCCGGCCCGCCTTCTTTATTAGGGCAAGTGCACAGCGAGGCCACACCCTAGCGCCTCGCCGCCGATCGCCTCCTTCTTTTTCTGCGAAGTTTGCGCGGCGGCGCGGGGCACTCCGGCGAGGACGACCGCCCTCGGGACACGCAAGCGCCCCCACGAGGCGCAGCTCACCGCTCGAGCTCCAGCACTACGCTTGCACTCGGACCGGCAAAGGTGGCTCAGGGTAATCGGTTGATGTCGCTGCAGTGCCTCTGATCGGGAGGGGCTAGGGTTCGAGTCCTTACGGACGCAGGGTTTCCGACACTGGCTATATTGCAAGGTCGAATTCAGCCGCTGTCTTGGGGAACGGCTGGCTGCTCTGATCTGTGGGTTTCCGTAGGTTCTCCGATCAATACCAGTGCGAATACAGCAGCCTTAAAAGCAGACCACGGACCTACCGCAATCTTTCCGTCCTCTTCACCTATCATCATCAACTCACTCACATGCACTACAGTATCATCAGGAGACCAGTCCCGGCTGGGGCGGTGCCGCGCTGGTTAATGATACCTGGTTTGGGAAAACCCCACAAGCCGACGCCAGTAAGTAATAGAGAAGAAGAGTATGAAAAGTATCTATTTGGTAAGTTCAACAGACCTGTATTGATCGATGGGTTCGCGAAATGCCAATATTTAAATAATAAAAGAGGGAAACTAAGAGTAAGATTGCCTTTCAAACTAATAAGCCACTTTTAGTATATCTCTAGTAAAATGAATTTGGCTCATAATTAGTGAATATGAGAATATCTGTTTCTTCTTTCTCAATACTAACAACATTCAATAGACTAACAGATAACAAAAGTTTCCTGCTTCGGTCTGCTTTAATGAAGGTAGATAATGAGG